CTGGTACAGGGTTAGTGCTGTATAACTATCAACCAGTATTGTTGTTATTGTAATGAGTTAATAAACTAAAAATTATAAAGGGCTTAGAACAGTGCCTGACACATAGTAAACCCTATTATCCACTATTGAGAACATTAATCATAGAATGTTTATTCTATGTTCATTCAGCCATCCATTCATCAAGTATTTACTGAGTGCCTTTTCTGTGGCAGGCCAATGTCTTCATTCCAGACCAAAAAAAATGTAATGTAAACCATAAATGTGAATCAAGTACATAATTTAAAACTTTCTAGCAGTTCACAGTAAGAAAAAGAAATGAGCAAAATTACTTTTAATGTTTTAATCCAATATCCAAAATATTACTTATGTAATCAATATAAAAAATGTGAGACTTCTGGCCAAGATGGAGGAGTAGGTAGATACGCTTTGCTCTTCACACAATCAAAAGAAGGTCGACAACAAATTTAAAAAGAACAAACCACCAGAACTGCCAGAAAGTTGAATTATATGGAAGTCCAACAACCAAGGAGTTAAAGAAGAAACACTCGTCAGACCAGTAGGAGGGACAGAGATGGGGTAGCTGGGGTGAAGAGGATACGCAATAAGGTGGCAGCTGGTGATGTGGGTGATCCCGCATTTCTGGGCAGATAAACAAAAATGAACAACTGGGGCAAGAGAGAGACCACACAACCCAGGGTTCCAGCACTGGGAACTACAGCCTCAAAATCTCTGACTGAAAAAAACTGTGGGGGATGCAGCAGTGGGAAGAACTCCCAGCTCACAGGAGAGTTTCTTGGAGAAACCCACAGTGTCCTAGAACATACACAAACCCACCCACCTGGGAATCAGCACCAGAAGGGCCCAATTTGCTTGTGGGTAGCAGAGAAAGTGAATAAAAAGCTGGCAGAGAGCTGAACAAGCAGCATTGTTCCCTCTCAGACCTCTTCCCCACATACAGTACCACAATTCAGCCAGGTGGATTCCCCTACCCTGGCAAACACCTAAGGCTCTGCTGCCTACTACATAAGAGGTGCACTGAGACATAAAAATATGACCCAGAAGAAAGAACAGATCAAAGCTCCAGAAAAAAATACAAATAAGCAATGAAGAGATAGCCAACCTATCAGATGCACAGTTCAAATCAAGATGCTCACAGAAATGATTGAGTATAGTCACAAAACAGAGGAAAAAGTAAAAGCTGTGCAAAGTGAAATAAAGAAAAATGTACAGGGAACCAACAGTGATGGGAGGGAAACTGGGACTTAAATCAATGGTTTGGACCAGAAGGAAGAAATAAGCATTCAACCAGAACAGAATGAAGAACAAGAAAATAAGGAGAGGCTTAGGAACCCCCAGGACAACTTTAAACATTCCATCATCTGAATCACAGGGGTGCCAGAATGAGAAGAGGAAGAGGACAAAATGGAAAACTCATTTCAATAAGTAACAAAGAACTTCCCCAATCTGGCAAAGGAAATAGACTTCCAGGAAATCCAGGAAGCTCAGAGAGTCCCAAAGAAGTTGGACCCAAGGAAGCACACACCAAGGCACACCATCATTATATCAGCCAAGATTAAAGAGGAGACTATCTTAAAAGTAGCAAGAGGAAAGGAGACAGTTACCTACAAAGGAGTGCCAATAAGACTACTAGCTGATTTCTCAAAAGAAACCTTACAGGCAAGAAGGGGCTGGAAAGAAGTATTCCAAGTTATAAAAGGCAAGAACCTACCTCCAAAATTACCCTATCCAGCAAAATTATCATAGAATGGGAGGGCAGATAAAGTGCTTCCCAGATAAGGTCAAGTTAAAGGAGTTCATCACTACCCAGCCCTTATTATATGAAACATTAAAGGGACTTATATCTAAGAAAAAGAAGATGAAAACTATGAACAGTAAAATGACAACAAATTCACAACTATCAACAACTGAACCTAAAAAAAAAAACCCCAAAACTAAAATGAACTAAGCAAACAACCAAAACAGGAAGAGATTCCCAGTAACGGAGATCACATGCAGGGTCATCAGCACAGAGGGGTAGGAGGGAAAATGTGGGAAAAGGTACAGGGAATAAGAAGCATAAATGTTAGGTACAAAATAGACAGGCCAAGGTTAACAACAGTATGGGGAATGTAGAAGCCAAAGAACTTATATGTATGATCCACAGACATGAACTAAGGTGGGGGAATGCCAGTGGGGGGTGGAGTAGAGTGGAGGGGAATAAAGGGGAGAAAAAAATGGGACAACTGTAGTAGCATAATCAATAAATTATATTTAAAATTTTGCAATTTTACTTTTTCATTCTATATCTTTTTAATCTAGTGTGTACTTTCTGTATACAGCTTATCTCATTCAGACTAGCCACATTTCAACTGCTCAACAGCCACATGTGACTAGTACTAGCATACAGTTCTTTACATTAAAGGTTAGAAAAAGAAATGTCATCTTTGTCCCCAGTCCCATCTTGCTAGTAATTACATAGTGTTTTTTTAAGTTTAAGAGTCCTTTCGCATTCATAATTTCATTTGAGAGGAATATTTCTCACCTTGAAGGATGGATTAGATTTTAGGAGGTGGGGAAAATTCCCATCAAAAGGAAATAAATTAGAAGTAACAAGGAAGGAAAACAAGAGGTCTATTATGAAATTAAAAGTCGAGGTGATAACCTAAGAAAAGGTATCAGGGAAGCCGTAGTCTCCAGACCACGGAGGCTGGGTGTTGTCAGATTGCAGGGAGAAACCAAAGGTTTAAGCAGGAAAGAGGCAAGATGAATTAAATGGGCAGCTAAATATAGCATAAAAGGGAGAGAGAGAGGCTAGAGGTAGTTCATTAGAAAATCACTGTATCAAATCTCTGGTACTCAGAAGTTTCCTTCCTCTTTCCAACATTGTTATATACAAAATACAGTTATTTCTGAAATGTAATTTTCATTTTAGTTAAGGTGATTTAGTAACCTTTCTGAGATGAGACATGATGAGAACTTTAAAAAAAAAAAGTCGCAGTGGCAGCCATTAGGAGGGTTCCACACAGAAAGAACAGCCAAGTACAAAGGCCTTGATACAGCAAGGAGCTTGCCAAGATCAGGGAACAGAAAGTAACCCACTGGATGATACAAGTAAATACACATCAGCACACAGTATGTGGTCTATATTTAATGAATGACAGAAATAGCTGCTTACTCCTGTCACCTCTACAATGCTGGCATGTAGTTAGTAAGAAACAAGCAAAGAAGATCTAGTGTTTTTCAGTTGCTGCAAAAGAGCATATAAAAAATACCAATCACATCTGGTGATCCAAGAGCCTAAACATTGGTTTAAAAATGTGTCAACATAAAAAAAACCTACAAACCCGTATACATTTTTTCATGAGTTTATCTGAGCCTAACTGATGATAATTGTCAGGATGTAAAATCTCAATAGATTGAGAAAATGCTCTGGAGAATGGCAGTTTTCCTGCTTATTTTATACATTAGAATTAAAGGAAAAAGACACAAGGAGGGGAGGGGAGTTACATGAAATCCACTGGTGGTAGATTAAGGGGGTGGGAGAAAGCAAAGCACGGAAATCTCTGGTTTTGGATAAAAAGTAAAATGAAGAGATACACACTTCTTTTACTTTGATGAGTACAGGATACTGTAGTTAAATTTACAGCACAGATATGGTACGTGGGGGGAGTAAGGTATCGATGAGGGGTTCTATAGTTTTCTACTGTGGTTCGGAGCCTGTGCCCTGAAGAGTCTGGAAAAAGGGGATTGCTCTGACATTCCAAGAGTGTGCTATTGTAGATGCAAACACAATAAACAGGCTCAGTTAAGGTGAAGATACCTTGTCAAGGAAGATACCAGCCAAGGACATGACTACCCACTGTGACTTGCTTTTCTTGAGAAGGTTTAATTTCAGACAATACTATGTAGTTGTAGGACAGTTAATAAACCAAGGCAGGGAGGAGGAGGGAGACTTGTCCCAAGTGTTGACTCAGCAGTCCTGAGCCAGGTCCAATAAGACTGCCAGGTGTTCTGAACATCACAAGCAGGGATAGTGCCTGAGGAGGGGAATCCTTCAGACTCTGGGATTCTGGGAAAGGGAGCCTCTGTAGCAATTTCAGTAAGACTAAGAGCCTTTACTACCTAAGAAAGCCTTTGTATATATTATTTCCAAGGCTTAGAAATGGGAGAAGGAAGGGGTACCTAAAAGCTGACTGAAGTATATAACCCCTGAACCCCAATAGTCAGGGTACTCAAATTAGCCAGGTGCCCACTTGTAGCCTGGGCTCAAGTGTATAGACCAAACACTAACAACTTTATTTCCTCCACAAGTGGGGCATTTAGACTGGCCCAGTACCTGCTTGCAGATTTGTTTTGGTATAGTTTCATAAATAAACTTGCTGCCTCATTTCCACTATATGTTTGTCTCCGGTTTGAATTCATGTCTTGCAAGCAAGGTAAGAACCGAAGCTCAAGCTGAGAGGTAGAGGGTGACTCAGGCCTTTTACCCTGGCCTGGTCTGTAAGGTCCGTCATGCAGGCCTCCCCAGAGCGTGTCAGACTTATTAGGCGGCCCCCTTTACACGCACAAATGGATTCAATACACAGAGTGGGTACCTGTTTGCTATTCCCAAAGATTTAACAAGTCTCCTTACAGCCTCAGCACCACCACATCCTCAAATAGCACCGCTTCTGGAAAATGTTAAAGAACTTCCTTGTGCCAGCGTTTCTCCAAGCCACTGCGTTGGCAGCCTTGCCTCCCCTAACCCTGGGCTAGTCGGACATTCTGAAAGCTGCTTCTCTTCCTGAAGGCGACGCAAGAAAGGCCCGCCAACTCAAATCTTAAAGCAGCAAGGACCCACGTCTACAGGATAACCGAGAAACATCACATCCGGTCACCTACCCGTCCGCCTTCCTCTGCCAGTAGTCGCAGACGTGACGAAGCAACAAACGCCAGTCGGAGGCGTGTCTCTCCCCAGCCAATGGGCTCTGCCCACTTTTCTCTTCCGTCACCGTGCCGTCCGTGGCGTTCGGGGGCGGGGCATGCAGGTGGACACGGAAGCCGAAAGGGGTTAGGCCGCTCAGTGGCTCCAGAGGCGGGGAGGAAGGAGCAAGATGGTTTACATCTCGAATGGTGAGTTGGCAGAAGGGGAACTGCTGAAAGGCCGTATCTCGTGTTTTTTTCATCCTCGCCCACCCGCCCGCCAGGTCTGCCGCCCGTCACGTATTTCCGGGCCTGCGGCGCATCTGCAGATCATCCTTAAGCGGTGGGCAAGGTCCGGGGTCTTCATAGTTCGTTGGGTCGTTGCCTAGCATCCTCGACTGATTGTGGGTCTTGCGAAAGTGGACTTCTCTCACCGGCGTCTGTGTCCTTAACTAGTAAAAACAACATTAACACCATCTGCGTAGAGCTTAAGCTTCACTCACCATTGCGTTATTTGCTTATCAACTTATCCAGTCTTTATGTAACAGCCCTATTGGGATATTGTATTTTCCTTACTTTACGGATGGCGACTGAGGCGCAGATTAAATATATTGTCCAGCATGACAAAAGTAGATAATGGCTCAGTCCGGATTCCCATTGAGGTTGGCCTACGTCAGCGTTCTTGCTCTTATTGCTGTTATCACGTGTATTTTGCCTCTCTGTAACTTTGATCTAAGAATTAGCCACTCAGGAGAAGAGGGTAACTAGTCGTACGTGGAGTTTTTTGCCCTGATGTCAGGGAGCACAAGAAGCAGCACCACTCCCTCTAGAGCAAGTTATTTTTTCCTGGAATAGAGAATCTGAAAAATCTTAATTCGGTGACTCCACAAAGAAAATGACTGGAAAGACAGTATGACTGGGTCAGAACAATGCCAGCACTGCTCGGCCACCTGTTTGATTCAGATGAAATAAATGCCTTGGTGCAATCTTAACAAGTAGGCCTTGGATGACTGGAACTAGGTGCTGGTTCTGTTTGAATCATGTTTATCTATAGAGATAATTAAGATAAGTCAATGGGAAGTCTTTGGCCAAGTACACTTCTCATCTCTTTGCTCTTCAAAATTCACTCTCCTGTCTCCCCCTTAAAACTCTTTGAAACAGGTAGGTTGATGGACTCATACAAAAAATCAAAGTTTTATCTTCATGTTGGCACTTGCAAACTTTCGTTTTATCCTTTGTAGCTAAGGCTGGCAGCTTCTATTTATGCATTAGTGAATGTTTCTTTGTATTTGTAGTATATCATTGTGCGTACATAATCGTATTTGATCCACATAAATAACATAAAGGCCTTTAATTTCATTTTTATAGTTGAGAAATGCCAGTTGCATCAAGCAACTTATTTCCCTCTAAGAGTGTAGGGAGGGGAAGTTTCTGCCTTCAGAAAGTAGGAGGGAATATGCAAAAGCAAATAAGAATGATGCAAGTGCGTGTAATAGTTGCTTTTGAATCACAGGAAGAATTGATGGATTCCCATTAGCTCTATTTTCTTAGCAGGACTATATTTGTCAGCACTTCAAGTGCTGCCAAAGTGACTTTTTCCCAAACAATTTTATATGACTAGAGAAGGAAAAATCTCATATTGGCCAACAAAGCAGAGCTAGTAAGAGGCAGCACCTGTCACCTATGCTCTGTCTTTAAGTGTGGGCCTTTTTTCTCAGTAGCTGTATGTGTTAAATATACCTGAAAGTAAGCTGGTCAAGGAAAGAGGAAAAGTAAAAAGCTTAGAGCAGTCCTTGGGAAAATGGAGAGGAGAGGTTGTTGACAGATGGCTCTTCTTCCAAAATATTCTGACCTCTTGATTTTCAAGGCTGAAAGCATACAGTACCAACTTTTCAGGTTGTAGCTTTTATTATTTAACGTATGTGAAAGATAGATCCTTTTTTGTTTAAGATAAAGCTGATACCTATAGTTAGAATGAACAGCTTTTTACAGAAAAATAGTGGTAATTTTAATGAACAAGCCAAGTTCTCTTCAGTACTTAAAGCACACAGACTCTTTGATTTTTAAAAATTTTGTCATAATAACTGATTCTAAAGACCTGTAAGAGTATGTATAATCAGTCATTTTGTATAAAGAAGAAGCTTTTCAAGTGGAAAGAAATAATTTGAACATTTTAGGAACATAGAAGTGGTATAAGCATTCTTTTCTATTCACCTATTTGTTTCCTCAGAATATTTTAATAAATAGATATTTGTACACTTCTGTTCATAGCAGCATTTTCATAGTAGGAACCCAAGTGTGGGCCAACAGATGAATGGATCAATAAAATGCAGCACACACATATATGGGAATATTAATCAGCTTTGAAAAAAGCAGGAAGTTTTGACATATGCTACAACATGGGTGAACCTTGAAGACAGTATCTAAGTGAAATAGCTGCTTATCAAAGTACAAATATTGTATGTCCTCATAATGAGGTTCATAGAGCAGTCAAATTCATAGAGACAGAAAGTGGAATGGCAGGTTGCAGCGGGCTTAGGGAAAGGGAAAAATGGGAAGTTAGTGTTTAATAGGTACAGAGCTTCATTTAGGAACAATGAAAAAGTTCTGGAGATGGATGGTGTGATAGTCGTACAGCAGTGTGAGTGTACTTGATGCTGTAGATCTGTACATCTCAAAATAATCAAAATGGTAGATATTTTTGTATATATTTCACCACAGTAAAGAGAGAGAGAGAGAAAGAGAGAATACTTGAATGAAGTATCACCCACCAAAACTACAAACTGTAGGAAAGCATTTGGAATATTAAAGGAATGACCCCTAGGAATGGTCACAGAGACTTACTTCCTTGAACACTTTCTTAGAATGGTGAGCACAAGCAGATCTCTCCCTCCCATTGTTCAGAACAATGGACTAGTTGAAAACTGAATCTGGGATTGTTACCTGATTAAATATAACTCATCCTGTGCCAGGGATTTATAGCACTAATTAAGTTTCTTTATTCTTGTCTGTAGGACAAGTGCTGGACAGCCGGAGCCAGTCCCCGTGGAGATTATCTTTGATAACAGATTTCTTCTGGGGAATAGCTGAATTCGTCATTTTGTTGTAAGTATAGTAGTGCTCTTAATAGCCCTCCCTGACTGGCACTTGCGTTGCCAGAAGTACATTAGGTACATTATGTTGCCTATCTTAAACAAACTGAGCTTTCCTGAGCAGTTTTCAATTTTAATTTTTTAAAAATCAATAGCTATACTAAGAGAAATGAAGACTTCTGTAGTGATAAAGCTGTCACCAGACATCTTATGATTATGAATATGATAGTTCAGTTGGTAAGCTTGACCATACCTTTGTCTTGGTGGTAATCATATCAGCCTGCAGCTATGGAGCCAGCCCTGCCCATTCTAATGCCAAATTACAGTGCCTCATTTTCTGTCTGTTATTCCCAGCTTTAGTGTATATGTGCAAATCTTGAGTATTACACAGCAAGCAAGCAAGAGGAATTAGGTCTTGATTAAGAAAAGTGTTTTGCTTTTTATTTTTAATGAAGGGCTAGAATCAATACAGAGGAGACAGAAATTTAAACTTCACCATAATTTTCAGTAGTTCTTAGTTAAATGTATTTTTTGGTCTTTCACCCGTTATTTGTTTTATGAAAATTGTTCATCAACCACTAACAAGTCTTATCCTAAGTTTGAATTTATATTTGAGTGTCTCATGGATAGGAACTGTAGGGATGCAGAGATATAGAAGATAGTTCTTTTATTGACTTTACTGTCAGTAAATATTATTTACTGTCAGTAATATTATAAGGGGCAATGGGTAGGCATGATTGTGGCAGATGGAAATCAGAAGTTATTCCAGGTGGAAGAAACACAGGAAAGGTAGCAGAGACATTTGAATATTAGCCTGTGATCTTTATACTTAATTTGATTATTGCTCTGGTTTAGAAAGATTAATCTGATGGCTGCATGTGGCATAAATTAGAAAAGGTAAAATGGAAGAGATAGCTCCATAGAAAAATAACCACAGGGGACAAGAGAAGCCTGAAGTTAAGGTACCCAGTGCAGAACTTTACAGTTTTACAAATTTTACCAACTCTGTGTTGTTCATTAAAATACTGTTTTAACTTCACTAAGTTCTTCCTCCTTCACAAATAAAATTCATTTGAATGGATTTCCAGTTCTGTGCCTCTGGCCACCACCCTCAGCCTCTCCCTCTCCAGGGTAATGGAGAGGGTAATTATCTCTCCAAGATAATGTTGGGTAGGCTGTTGGGCCTGACAGCTGGTATAGAGTAAAGGAAGAAAGTTGGGATGACTGTCATGGAGAGTTATCAGCAAATGAGAAAGGTGAGGAAGGGTGGCTTTGGCACAGAACATAGCACACTCTGTTTAGACATGTACTTACTTTAGATGGTGTTGTCCAGATGGCTGCAAGAAATGTGGGTTTGGAGCTAAATCAGTTCAGCTGTTCTCTCATCAGAGATGACAGTTGAAACCATGAAATGCATTTTATATATTGAAAGTGGTTCTTCTGTTGTTTTCTGCCCCTTGTTTCAGTTTCAAAACTCTGCTTCAACAAGATGTGAAAAAGAAAAGAGGCTACGGAAGCTCATCTGATTCCAGATATGATGATGGAAGAGGGTATAGTTTTGTTGTTGTTGTTTTTTAATTTTTACAGAGGGGAAGGGAGGGAGAAGAGAGATCTTAGAGAAACATCAACGTGTGGTTGCCTCTCAAGCACCCACCCATCCCCAACGGGTACCTGCCCTACAACCCAGGCATGTGCCCAAACTGGGAATCGAACTAACCACCCCCTGGTTCACAGGCTGGCATTCAATCCACTGAGCCACACCAACCAGGGCAGGTATAGCTTTTTGAATTGAAGTGTTTAACCCTCTGTATATTTTCATTAAACTATAGATATATAAATGGATAGATAAATAGATAGGCTCATGGAAATTAAAGGTTTAAATCCTATTTCACAGAATTAATGCATCTATAAATTAGGTTGCCTCTGATTTGATAACTATAATCAACCTGACAAAGCTAAAATGTACATTGTATATCCTATGGGAAATAATCTAAATTAGAGGATGAAAACTGAGAGCCATCATTGAGAACTAGAGATTTCACTTTAGAATCTAGATTTCCAACTCCTAATGAAAAACTCAAAGATCAAGCAGAGTGAGTTAGGCTTGTGTTTCCATGTGGCAAAAACCAGGTAGAGTTGGATTTTAGCTGAACATTTACAGGAGGTGGTGTTCAGTTCATCACAGTCCTGCCTGACTGACTTTCCTCGTGTACTTTTTGGGTCTGGTCCCTAAAAAGGTTTGAATTTTTATCTAAATAGTGTTTTAAATAAACACTATTTAAACACTATTAGGGTCTATTTGAGTATAAAAGGAACCCATTGAAGATGTCTACTGAACAGTAGAAATTAACTTTTTCTTTTATCAGGCCCCCAGGAAACCCCCCCAGAAGAATGGGTCGAATTAATCATCTGCATGGTCCCAGTCCTCCAATGGCTGGTGGATGAGGAAGGTAACTTAAATTTGAAGTTATTCTGCAGGAATTTTATTTTGTAAATGCCTTCTTAGGAAGGTCTTTAGGAAAACAGAAGTTGCCTAGCATTTTGAATTATTCAGACATTATTTGGAAAAATATTTTTATCCTAATCCTTGAAAAGTCTATTGGCTTTATTATCAGAATGTCTTTTAAAGAGGTTTATAACTGTAGTGATTATGGGATTTTTTCCATTCAGATCTAAATTTTAATAACTAGCAACTAATTATTGTAACATTTTCTTTTAGGTAAATGTCTGCTCTAAGAAGCAGACAGCTGGACGTGCACATTCATAACAGAAAGAAACCATCGAGTAGTGCAGGGCTGACCATGCTGGACAAGAAGATGAATGTGTGCGTCTAAACAAGAACTACTCTGTGTCCTCACAGACAAATGAGGTCATGTTGGGAATTCTCTTGCAGGGATCTGACGTGACTGACATGCAGTTCTATAAATACACGTTTGTCTCATTAACTTTTTGTATAGTTTGTCAAAGTATTAATATAGTTTTAATAAGTAAATGTTTTTATGTTACAAAAGTGACTTCTCATCTTTATATAATTAAAACTCTGAATATGAAGAAAATTAAAAGACTGTATTTAGTACTGTTAGTGTAACCTTTTTCAACTTCTGAAAGTGTTCGTTGTTAATTTGTTCTCACTTATAAATAAATCACATTGTATTTATTTCAGTATATGCATATAATATCTGTGGTTTTGAATTAATTTTTATCTTGAAACATATTTGCCCCAAGAGTCTTTAATACAAGGTGTTTGATTTACTGCCATGTAAAATTACCAGGGTATTTATAAAGCCATAACCAACAAAACAGCTACAAAATGAAGATTTGCTAGGTAGTCTGAAAATATATGGACTTAAATGCTGTCTTGACAAATATGAAATCTAAAGAGTCGTTTTGTCTTTAATCCCCCTCTGAATGCTGGCAACTAACATTCTTTCCACCAGAATGGAAGCTTTATGAAATTAGAGTTTTTGTCCTTTACCCCAGTACTTTGAATAGTGACAGCATGTAATAGGAACTGAAATATTGTCAGAATGAATAATACACATACTACTACTTCCAGTGCTTAACAGGTTTTGAAACCAAAGTGTTGAGATAAAAGCATCTTTATGTCCATTTATAAGTATGGGGATGGTATCAATGTGACATTTACTGAAATCACGAAAGTGGGGGTTCATCAAGAATTCCATTTTGGACATACTTAAATTTGCAATGCCTTGTTGATATCCATGGAGAGATACCAAATATATCAGTCTGGATCTCAGGGAGAATTCCACGCTGGAAGTATATATTTGGGAGTTACTTTTAAAGTTATGAAACTGGGTAAAGTCATCCAAAAAATGTGTAAAGAGGAGACCTAGCACCAGAGAACCCTAACATCGCGCTGGACTGAGCAGGACCAGTGAAATAAGAGAACTAATGTATGTAAGGTGTCTGGGAACCCATGAAAGACAGGTGTTGAGGACGAAATGAGATGCTGGTTATTGGCTGGTCCCTCAAAGCGCTCAGAAGAAAAATGAAGTACCTGATATCCCTAGCATGCTAAGGCCAAGACCAATCGCAGCACGACCTACTTAATCCACCCACTCCTGCTTCCCCCGAGACCCCACCCCCAAGCGGGAGGTTCCGCCCCTCTGTTTCCGGGATTCTCTGGCATGACTGTCGGCCATCTTGGTTGTGGGCAGCCACACTGGAGACAGCGCTTGCGCTGTGGACTTTCTGTTTCGCTCTGTGCGGTGCCGGTGGAGGCTAAAGGTTTCTGGGGTTCTGCGGCCACGATGACCCAGGCGGAGAAGGGAGACGCGGAGAACGGGAAGGAGAAGGGCGGGGAGAAAGAAAAGGAGCAGCGAGGGGTGAAGCGGCCCATTGTACCTGCCCTGGTGCCGGAGTCCCTGCAGGAGGTTAGGTGCTTTGGGTGGGGCTCGGCGAGGGTCCTGCATCTTGGCCTCGGACCTCCGCATTCTGGTCTGAGGAAGTCGAAGCCAATGGAAGGCTTCGGACCCCGTGGTCATGGTTGTAGGAGTTGCTCATTCCCTCCCGTGTTGTTGCAAGCTGAGTGAGGACTGCGTCCTCCCCGTCCCCCCCCCCCCCAACAGCCTCTGTGGGAGCCCCTGCTTCCCTGGCTTTGAAACAGGGCTGAGATGTCACCTACCTCCCAAATGTGTGAGGTTTTAGTGGTTGCACGTAGAGTTTAGCACCAGGCCTGGCTCACTGGGAGTATCTGCGGTTATTTGGTAAGGGATAGTTAGAGGTTCATGCCTTTTTCTTTGTTAAGGACTCTCAGGTAGTAAAATGAAAAGTAGACATTTGTCTAAATAGACATTGGGTGTGTGTGTGTGTGTGTGTGTGTGTGTCAGAAAACAAAAGGATTAAGTCTAACCGGAAAAATTATTTGCCGTACATGGCGGACGAAGGGCCTTTGTATATAATATTATGAATACTCAGTGAAGAAAATACTAGCATTCCCATAGGAAAATGGACGGAGGCAATGTAAAATTCACTACAGAAATCAGGCGTTGTTTAAATGCTCAGAATTTCTTTTGGACATCTCCGAGGTAGGGTCCTGGTAGATGTGTTAACTCTATGCCCAACTTGCCAGGCAGCTATAAAATACGTAACAGTTTCTGGCACATGGTAAGCCCTCCGTGTGGTTACCAGTGTTGCCCTGGAGTCCATTTCTCCACTTAACTAGTTGGGGGCAGACTGACTGGCCTGCGAGGGCTCACTGGTTCTCACCTTCTAGGATTCTCCCACCCAGAGGGTGAGGCTGGGAGGAGTGCTGGTGCTGCGAGGGGAGAACAGGGTGTGGGATCCACAGTGGAGAGGACCAAAGGGAAGTGTTGGGCACACAACAGCAGGTACCTCCTCCAGCCCCAGTGGTCTGGGATGATGTTTTTGGAGGAGGGGACATCTGGACTAAGATCTGAAGGAGGATTAAAAGTTAGGTAGGGGGAAGGGAAATCTCAGGGAGGGAGAGCATAGCATGGAAGAGAACCAGGCTAAGAGGCTATGAAGTGTTGGAGATCAGGATGTATGGAATCGAGGGAGTAAGGGAGCAACAGACAAGACTGGAGATCTTAGCAGGGGCCATATCATGAAGGTCATATAAGTCAGAGAGTCTGGCCAGTTCTGAAGGCAGTAGAGAACTTTGGGAGACCTAGCCACACTCTGAGCTTGTGATTGCTTATTAACTTGTTTAATCTAAACAGTTATTCTAAGAGGTAGGAACTTCATCCAGAGCAAGGAAGTGGCATAGTCTGAATTTGAAGCCAGGTGTGTGAACCCAGAGCCTGGGTCCTTAATCACTATAGCAACATTTCCTTAACTTCAGTCAATTGTATAACACTCTTTGGTTTTCTGTGGCCTCTGCAGCACCTGTATTGTTAACTGTATCTCATCTTAAACAATTAATATCCAGGAAATGGCATGTGGGATGTACTGACCAAAAAAGAAGTTGTTCTAGAGTAAGGCTACAGAAGTAGGCAGGGCCTTGCTCTTGAAGGTCTAGACTTTATCTGTTGGCCAAGTACAGAAATATTTTTAATGGAAACATGCCAATAAGACCCAACTGTAGCTTCACACACAGTACAGAATAGGTGCTAGCTAAGGAGTCAGGCTGGCATGGTGGTTCTTAACAAACAGATCCTGTTGTCAAAGGGGACTGTGAGTCCCTTTTTTCTTCCCCTACTCCCCTCAACAAGTTTACACGGTAAAGGTTCCCCAAGTGACTCAGATTATATTCTGCCCTCTTGAGAATTTCGGTTCTAAAACAATTAACATCTCAAAGTAAAGTTTGTAGTCGTCCACTGTCGTAATTTGCACTACTTTGTCAGTCCTTGTTCATCATCTCCCTAGAATGAATTGTGAATAGCAGCAAAGTTTTCTGACTTAGGAGGATAGAATTATGAACTCTGGTTTTTCATCCCCAGTCTCTTGCCAGATTAACCCAGACTAACCCTAATCCAGCACTCCACTAGTCATGGTATTCCCCACACTCTCATTCCTTGTTTAACTGTCTTCCCTAGTAAAGGAAAAGTTCCCTGATTTGGGGGACTTTGTCTTGGTTACCATTGTACTCACAGTGCCTGGCACAGAAATGCCCAGTAGGTTAATTTGCGTTGAATAACTATGGTTCTTTTCATTTAAACAAACATTTGTTGGACTACGTACTATGAGCTAGATCCTGGGGACACAGAACTATAAAATGAGTTTGTATTCAGATAGAGAGCAGTAATTCGATGCTTCTCAAAGAACTCCCTTTACTGAATTATTTTGAAACCTTTGGGTCTTATGACCATTACAGGAAACTAACTTCTTAGTCTGTCCTGTTACCTATATGTTATTTAACTTGTTGCCTGCATATTATTTACTAAGGTCACATACCTGCTTTATATTTGCAGCAAATCCAGAGCAACTTCATTGTTGTCATACATCCAGGTTCAACAACTTTAAGGATTGGTCGAGCCACAGACACACTTCCTGCCAGCATTCCTCATGTCATTGCACGAAGACACAAACAACAAGGGCAGCCCCTGTACAAGGACAACTGGCTCCTAAGGGAGGGACTAAATGTAAGTGGGAAATGGAGGACCTGAGAGAAATCCCAAGATTGTTTCCTTGGGAAGGCTTAGATATGCAAGTATATGCAATCCTCTTGAATAAACATCTGCATAGCCTGTGTTATCAAGTAATAGCACCAGCCCTGGCTGGTCTGGCTCAATGGATTCCTGTGAACCAGAAGGCCACCAATTTGATTCTCGGTTAGGTTATATGCCTGGGTTGCATGCCAGGTTGGGGGCATGCAAGAGGCAACTGATTGATGTTTCTCTCAGGCACATGTTTCTCTTTCTCTCTTTCTCCCTCCCTTCTCTCTCTCTCTGAAAGTAAATAAATAAAAATAAATTATTTAAAAAATAATAGAATAATAGCATCATTCAGGGTTACAAATAATCACTTTTCAT